CCTGATCAATAACTCAGCAGGTGACCTCTCCCCACCTCCGCAACCCATGATCTCTGCTGAAGTTGCTCAGTAAATTGGCTCGTGCAAGGTGTGAGATCAAGTGAGCTTTATTCATTTATTCACCCTCTCTGTCTTGGGAGGAACAAGGCTTTATTTGCATCCTGCTCTGTGCTTCAAATTTGCCACACATCTCAACAATAAGGTTTTATACCCAGACCATCACAGTGTATTGTGTCGTCACGGTTATGTCTAGTTAGCCGCAGTTGTTACCTTTGAATAACAGAGCCTATCCCATTGGCAGCACTGAATTCCTCTGTCTGCTATCTCTGTTTGTACCTGTCTCACCATATGCTGCCGTTTCTCAATTCAGGGCCTCCGAGCAGTCAGTTATGTATGACATCACCTCCAATATGATACCAAACCCTCAAACATGGACATTCCGTCTTGTTAGACAAGGCTTTGGAATGTTCCTCTTTCGACACAGTACATCATCCGAATTGACAGTTTCCTGGAAATGGTGATTATCTGCGGGATCAAATGTAAAATTCAGGATATTTGCACTGTCCTGTGCACGGTTTTCCATGTACAAGGGAGAAAAACAGTCAAACGAACACAGGATGATGTTTGCTTGCAATCCAGTACATATTGGAACATTTTGTATTGAGTTTGTGGTTGGAGTTGTTATTAGCCGGGTCTGCGATTGATTTATGTTTCTTTGTGTTGTTGCATGAATAGTTTGAATACTTTTCACAAGTCTAGCCCAAATTTTCCAAGCCCTGCGTTCCTGATAATGTTTTCTCCCAGATACATGGTGCAACAGAGCTTGCTGTTTGTTTAGTGTTGGTGGAGACACTTTGCGTGCAATTTCCCTCCATAAGGCTATGGATTATAATAATAATAATTCTTGCATTTATCACATTGATGAGACATCTCAAAGCGCTTCACAGAATATACTGTAAAGTGAATTGACTGCATATATTGTGGGCAAAACATAGCAGCCAATTGCACACAGCAGTGTCCCACAAACTGTTGTGGATGAGGTGCCTCTAGAGGCATGAAGCTGAAAGGTCTCTCATGTTACTTCCACTGATACTGGCCACTAACAGACCGGGAATCCTTTACCTTGTGGGGGCAATGAATAATCTTACAGAAGGACAAAGCAATTGAGCAGCTCATTACTAAATTAGACGTTGACCGAAGTTATGAGCGAAAAGGAAATTGAGTCTTTCTCCGCTATATCTCTGAACATTTCTTCCATCTATGCGGCAATTTCTACCAGACAGGCAGGTGGATCCATTTTATCGACCTTGCATCAAAAGGAAGCATTACAGAGAACGATTACGAGTTACAGCAAACTGATCTACCAGAGTCTTTCCTTTTCTGCTACATTATCTGAACTTGTCATTTGATGTGCAGAAGGAAGATGCAACATACACAGAGGCCAAAGGCAACCCGTTTGCTCTTTGAGGCAAATATCTTACCTCTTGGCTGNTTTTTTTGGTCAGCCAGGTGTCTGACACATGCGGAAACCCATCACAGTGCTTAAGAGTCTCCAAACCAAACTGGTTTGGATTCTTGGCTGGTTCTTGGTTGGTTCATGGGGCGAAACATTAGGCAAGTTTCCTTGCTCCACATGCCTCTGTTTTCCTAGCAGTAAGTAAGAACCCAATTGGCAGATCGCTTTCTGTCGGTAATAAATCATTCAATCCACAACTATGAGACACTGCTGTGCACAATTGGTTGCTTTGTTTCGCCCACAAACTACACAGTCAATTCACTTCACAGTATATCCTGCAAATTGCTTTGAGACGTCTCAATGGTGTGATAAGGCGCTATATCAAAGGCAAGGATTAAGTTAAGTTTTAAGTTCTTGGCTGTTAAGATGTTGGCTTTGACTATTATGTTCCACATTGGTTTCCGCATGTGTTAGACACCCGGCTGACCAAGTAAAAAATGAACCCTCAGGAATAGCGGGTATCACACTGTACTTAGACACCATTGAAATGTTCTTGTGTTTGTAACTTGTTCAGTTTGTTGTGACCAATTCCTCTGTTTAAAGACCCCTTGTGGTCAGGGCTCAGCAAGTCACCTCATTAAGGCTGCTTTGATCTCCGCACTGCCCTTGCCTCATATGTGTAGGCAGACGGTGCTCCTGCCCGGGCCCTGAGGGAGGAACACTGACAGAATTTACTAACTGCAAGAGCAAACCAGAGTAGTGGAAAGAACATACATTTCAAATTAGTTGTTCACTCATCCCTGACTTCCCCAAGGTCTTTACCCACTATTGGAGTCTGTCTGCTCAGTCTGTTAGTTTAGTATTGGAAGCAATGGAACTCTCTCCCCCAATCCCTCTGCCTTGCCCACTCCTTCCCCTCTTTTAAATCACGACTGAAGACCTTTCTCTTTGACCGTGCTTACGCCCTTCCCTCCAGGGCGCATCAGGCTCCGCCACTGTTAAGCACTCTGAGATGCTGGTCTGTGTGAAGGATGCTATATAAATGCAAGTTGTTGTTGTTCAGTGTGCCTCTTCGACCAGCCTTTCTCTACTCATAGATTTCTAATCTTCTTTGTTTAAAGGAAATTCTCTGGTCAGTCACCAAAAGCGGTAAGTTTTTTTTGCTTTTTTTAACAATACATTCTATAAGTATGCAGTCACTACACTTTACAGTATCCTGTGAATCACTTTTGAGACGTTCTCCCAGTGTGAAAGTCAATATATCAAATGCAAGGGTTATTATTATAAGTATGGCGCTCGTATCATCTTCTTAATGTATCATTCCATATAGATTGGAATCTTCAAGAGATACAATCCAATACAAATTTACATTTGACAGTCAGGAGGACGTCCTAAAGTGCCTCACAGGATATGTATAAAATGCAGTGACTACGTTTTTGTGGGCGAAAATGTACTGAATTAGTTAAAGCCATTCCATGCAGTATTTTACAATATTTGATTGTACTCTTCTCAATGAAAAATGCATATATTTTAATGCAAGTTTAGTGGATTTATTAACATTCAGACATATTTATATAGAACACTGAAGTAGTTTTAATAACAGTTTGCACTTGGAGAAATTGCATCTTGATGGATACAAATAGGTTAAAAATATTCATGCTTCATAGTCTGTGTTAAATGCAAATACTGAGGTGCATGCCTTTCCCCAATACCAAGTATCCGAAAGAGATGTTATATAGCTTGTTTGCAGAACCTGCCAGAGGTCAATCCATATTCTATATATAGATGTGCAACCATGACTTTTCTGAGCACTTTGTGAATTTATATTTTGTGCTTGTCTACAAATACACAGTCACTACACAGTACAATACCTTAAACTTCGTCAGTTTTACGAAAGGTGGTAATAATGGACAGTGGGCAAATTTGACATTAAAATATACTATAATATAAATAGAACAAAACAAACCAACAACAACAGGGTGGTCCTCGCTGGACAAGCAACGGGAAAGCTTGCCAGACAATGATATCAATGGCAAGCTATGAGGGTTTAGCTGGTTAGGCTCCAGTAATTACCCCAAATCACACTCTGGGGTCCCAAAGCTTTGGCTTTTGCCAACTTGTGCCTAATACTTTCCGGAATTAGGTAAGCAGGATGCATTCTTCCAAGGAGAGAGAGAGAGAGAGAGAGTGCACATTTCATTCCATCAATCTATCTCTGGAATTTCCATGTGGAGGTGGGATGGATGCACTTCTTAATTTGGTTCGGAGATTCTTAAGCACGGTGACGGGTTTCCACATGGGTCAGGCACTCGACTGACCAAAAAAATGAGAGATACAAGTGAAAAACGGTTGTGTTTTGCAAAAAAATAAATAAGGTGAGTTTGGGTTCTTTAAAAGGAAAGCGAATGTATTCCCTGGTTCCGTAAAGGAGAGCCTGTGCTGTGGGTAAGGATGTGTGGACACGTGTTAACAATAATACGAATCCTTGCATTTGACATATAGCGCCTTATCACGTCTTCGAGACGGCTCGAAGCGCTTCGCACAGGATACTTTAATTCGTAAAATTCATTATTATTAGTGGAGTCCTGTAGCTCAGTGGTTAGAGCACTCGCTTTGCAAGCGAGAGACCTGAGTTCAATTCCAGGCAGAGGGCGAAACCTTGGGCAAGTTTCCTTACTCCACACAGAGCCTAATAATAATCCCTCCAAAACCCAAAACAATAATAAATTGGTCATTTTCAATCCACGACTGTTTGTGGGACATCGCTGTGCGCAATCGGCCGTCGCGTTCGCCCACAAACATACAGTCAATTCACTTTACAGTGTGTTCTGTGAAGCGCTTTGGGACGTCCTCCCGACGTGAAAAGCGCTATATCAAATGCAAGGATTAGTATTATTATTATTATTATATTATTATTATTAAGTGTTGGTCGATTGCTTTTTTTCACAGTAACAATTTCGCTCGAGTGGGAACAGAGCTCTCAGACAAGTCCAAGTCTCCTGCGTTCTCCTGACTCCACCACATCCACTGCCTGTTGTAAGGAGGACTGCCGTTTGCTCTGGAAAACCTTAGAGGGAGCCTTTTGTCTGGTTCTTTGCAAAAAAAAAAGAAAGCAAAGCCCAAGTCAAATTGAGACGGAATCCGTCAAAGAAAAAAAAAACGTAGAGCGTTTGGATCGCTCAGACCTCAGGACTTTGCACGACTCAGACCCACACGGACACGTGTGTGGGGCAGTGCTGAGCTGTGCTGAGTTGTCCTCAGTCTTATAGTTTCTCTGTCACTCAGAGTGACTTCACGAGAATACGATCTGCGGTTTTTTTGGGGGGAGAAAGATCATTTCCCCCCAAACCTCCCTCCCACCCCCCGCCCCGGGGTTTGTTCGTTCGTTTCGTTCGTTGTCTCTGATCCACTGACACAACGAGAGAGAGAGAGAGAGAGAGTGAAGGCTGAAGGCAACTCACTCTCTCACTCTCTCACTCACTCTCTCTCTCGCAGCTCAGATGCTGTGGTCCCAACGCTGAGCCTCACACTGCAGAGCCGCTGCTCTGAACTTTAACGTGGAATCCTCTCAAGTTTTTTCCTGACACTTTTTCCTGCAAACTGTAGGATGGATTGTTTCCCCTCTGTCGTTTGCTTTGTCTTTCTCTCTTTCCTGCGGGTTACAGAAGGTCTCTACTTAGCTCATCATAAAGGTATGTTGGTATTGTATGTATGTATCTATGTATGTAGGTATTATATTGTATGTATGTATCTGTGTATATGTATTCGGTTGATGTGGATGTTATTTTTGAAAAGGAGGGGAAAAGAGGAGAGAGAGAAAAAGATTTTGTTTCAACAATAATAATCTTTGCATTTGATATAGCGCCTTATCACGTCGTTGAGATGTCTCGAAGCGCTTCACTTTACATATCGTGACTTATCACGTCACTGAGATTGTATGTAAAGCGAATTGACTGTGTATTTTGTGGGCGAAATACCAGAGCAAACAATGGATTGAGGAATTATCAGGGTTTTGCTAAACATTTCAATGCCGGGATGTATGAACGTACGTGTGTGTACCTGTTATTTAACAATTGTAAACAATAATCATTTTGCACTTGGCATAACACAAGGATTTGTAAAAATATTAAGATGTCTCAACGATGTGATAAGGCACCTTATCAAATGCAAGGATTATTATTATTCACTGCAAAGTGTAGTGACTGTGTTGGTTCGGCAAGCAAAATGCGATGGTCAATTTGCTCACAGAAATAAATACCTTACACACCATAAAAAAACAGCCCCTGAAAGTGATTGACTCTGTTATGGGATGTTTCCAGTGAACAATGGTAGCAGAATGATTTCATGTATTTAGCCACGTTACAGACACACTTTGAAATAACGAGGGAGGACAAGTTTGCAGGGCTGTGGGGAGTGGGATTGATTAGGATAGCTCTTTTCAAAGAGCTGGCACAGACACAATGGGCTGAATGGCCTCCTTCTGTGCTATATAATTCTATGATTCTAGGAACTTGAGAGCAGTGATATGCAGAAATAAGCTTTTATCAGTGAATCCCAACCAGTAGCTATTTGCAATAATAATGATATTATGATAATCCTTGCATTTGATATAGCGCTTTATCACGTTGTTAAGACGTCTCAAAGTGCTTCACAGGATATACTGTAAAGTGGATTGATTGACTGTGTATTTTGTGAGCGAAACGTGGCAGCCAATAGTGCACAGCAACTTCCCACAAACAGTTGTGTATTTTTTTTCATTGATTTTACATTGCTTTCCCCCACCTCTCTCTCTCTCTATTGTAGATTTACTCCAAGACAAATTGCTGGACTATGTGTTAGTGATTCCCAGGTGTACAGATGGGGAAGGAAGATTTCTCTCTAACCTTGTATCAACATCTGGCAGAAGTCGATGGAGAAGGGAAGTGGGCAGTTCACAGCACGAGCCGAGCAATGGACAGTTGTATTATAACGTTACGGTCTTCGGGCAAGAATGGCACCTGCGGCTTAAACTGAACTCGCGACTGGTGGCACCTGGAGCCATGGTGGAGTGGCAAGAGGGCAACACCACCCACACCGAGCCTCTGCGTGGAGACTGCGTCTACTCCGGGGATATCACCGATGTTCCGGGAGCTTCGGTCGCCATCAGTAACTGTGACGGGCTGGTAAGCAAAGCAGCAATTTTCCTCCTTTCACTGATCGCTTCCTTGTATTTGCATTTGATATAATAATAATCATAATAATCCTTCCATTTGATATGGTGTCTTATCATGTCGTTGAGACATCTTAAAACACTTCAAGGAATATACAGTAAAGTGGATCAACTGTATATTTTCTCAGCACTTTGGGATTTCCTCCCAATGTGAAAGGTGCTATAACAACAACATCAAGTTGCAATTAAATAGCACCCTTCATGCCGGACGGTGTCTCGGAGCGCTTAAAATTGCAAATGACAAATGTTGGTGTTTATAATTACAATTTGTTGTTATTGTTATTGTTATACAAATGTAATTTGTTGTTAGTGTTGTTGTTGTGGAAACAATGCAGCAGCTAATTGTGCATAACAGTTATCACAGTTAGATACTGCCTTATCACATTGTCGAGACATTTCAAAATCCTTTACAGGATATTTTGTAAGGTGAAGTGACAGTGTATTTTGTGAGCGAAACACAGCAGCCAATTTGCGCACAGCAGTGTCCCACAAACAGTCATGGAGTGAGTTGCCAAATTTTATTTGGGGGGATTGTTGGCCAGGACACGGGGAGAGAGAAACTCACTTCTCTTTTCAAATAGTGTTGTGGGGGATCTTTAACGTCCATCTGAACAGGCAGACGGACCTCGGTTTAACAGCTCATCCGAAGAGAAGCTTCCTTTCCCCTATTGTGTGTTTTCACCTCCAACCCACCTTCGGCACCGGATGTGCACCTCTAGGGAACACACGCGTGCTCCAGTAAGAGTGATATAAGTTTGTGGGGGGATGGGGAAAGAGAGAGAGAGATCCAAACATAAATAAGACATTTTAGATGTAGCAGAGATCAAAATAGTACATTTTAGTTCATTAGCGCATATTTCACAGGAACATATCTATGTTATATAGTTCATAGGAACACATTTATGTATAGTTCATGGGAAAGCATATTTGTGTTCAGGTGATGCCAGACCATAGAGGATTGATTAAAGGTGCACTTTGCTGGTGTCAAGGCTGAGTAACTTAAGCGCTTCAGTTACTATTCGGTTCAACCTTGCTCTTTCGCTTTTTTGTAGCTTCAATTAAGGTGTAAAAATCCTCACACTCGTCTACAAATCCATTCATGTTCTGTCATCTCCCTACCTTCTGACCTGCTTTCTCCCCACGTCACTACCTGCTCCCTCTGCTCGGCTGGCTCTGGCCTCCTGTTGTTCCTCTTCCCCTTTGCGCCACTATCAGTGGCCACATTTTCAGCCACTACAACCTCAAAGCTTTCAAACTCTCTCCCCTTATCGCTCTGCCTTGCCCCCTCCTCTTTTAAACCTTCCTCTTTGACCATGCTTACAGTCACCTCCTCCCTCCCCTCAGCTCAGCATCAGGCTTTGCCACTGTTAAGAGATCCAAGGTTAACTTAATCTGGATCCAGATTTACTCCGCTTTCCTTTAGGGAATTTGTCCAGAATTTAGCAAATTGGTGAATCCGTTCTCAGTTTTAGCATCGTTTTTTCTGCAACCCTTAAAGGAAACGTGCTGAAAATTGGCTTCGGAATTGAGGCTGTGTTTTTAAGAATTTGAAAATCAAAAATAGACTCAATCTTAGACCCATGTGACATCTCTCTTCACCAAGATGACATGAATCCACAGTGAAACTGGGGCTAGCTTAGGGTGGAATGACTGAAAAACACGAATTACTGTATTAAGTGTAAATCTGATGTGTGGTTCGGGGGTTATATGGATCATTTTTTATTGATCTGGATCTAACATTTTGCACAGGGAGTGAAATGAGACTTGGAAAAGCTGTATTTTTGTACAAGAAATACTGAACAGTTCATGATTTGATTTCATACACACAGCTACTTTCAAGCTTAAAGTAGCTTAAAGTTCAGCAGCATCAATTTTTTCCATCTTCCCCTGAGATGATTGTGGGTCTGTTGAGTAGATTGGTTTTCTATTCCTCTGAAACAACGGAGTGCAAAGAGCTCAGAATGTGTGTGAGTGAAGGAAACAGTGTTAAAGCACCTGTGTCATTTGCAGTGAGAGAGGTAAGAGGCAGAGTAGGCGAGATTTCAACTAAAAAATGACAGCAGAAATAAAGACCGACTGTAAATCGGTGCCGTATCAAATGCTTTAAAGGACTTTAAAAGATTTTAAGACAATGCAAATGTAATTGTGACTGTGCTTACGGTCACCTCCTCTCTCCCCCTAGCTCGGCGTCAAGCTCCGCCATTGTTATCTTCACTGCGAGGAGATGCTGGATTTCCTTGAATCCAAAATCAAGGGAATCCGCTCCGCGGTCACACCCCCTCCAACTTCCACCCACCCCCACCCCCTCCCTCTTACACTCCGACTCCTACCCATCCTCCCCTGCACACCTTCGTACCCATTTCCCCACCCTCTGTCACCAAACTCATCCTGTCCTTGAAACCCACCACCTGCTCCCTGGACCCCATCCCCACTCCACTCCTTATCTCTCAGCTCCACCTCCTTGCCCCACATATCACAGACATCATGAACCTGTCCCTCTCCTCTGGCTCTGTTCCCATTCCCCTAAAAACTGCCATCATCACTCTCACTTTGAAAAAACCATCCCTTGATGCGTCGCAGCTATCAAGCTACCGGCCCATCTCCAACCTCCCCTTCCTGTCCAAGGTCCTTGAAAGAGTTGTGGCCTCCCAGCTGCGCTCTTTCCTCTCCACCCATTCATTATTCGAACCCCTTCAGTCAGGTTTCCGTGCTGCCCATAGCACAGAAACCACCCTGGTCAAGGTCACCAATGACATCTTGACCATCTGCGACCAGGGCTCCCTCTGCCTCCTCGTCCTCCTCGACCTATCGGCAGCATTCAATACGGTCGACCACGCTATCCTTCTCCACCGCTTGTCCTCCCACCTCAACCTTCAAGGCCCTGTCCACAAACGGCTTTTCCTCCAGCCCCCGCACTGTCTCGTGCGGTGTCCCTCAGGGCTCTGTCCTCGGTCCCCTCCTCTTCACCCTCTATATGCTCCCCCTGTGGTGACATCATCCGCAGACATGGGGTTAACTTCCACATGTATGCGGATGACACCCAACTCTACCTTTCCTCCTCTACCCTCAACTCCACGACCACCGATGTCCTGACAGCTGCCTGTCCGACATCGAGTCCTGGACGAGAGACAACTTTCTTCAGCTCAACGTGCGCAAAACTGAGGCCCTCCTGATTGGCTCACGTCAGCGCCTCCGCACCTCAGGCGCTGACAGCATCAGCATCCAAGGCTGCACTCTCCACCTCTCAAAGCCAATCAGGAACCTCGGGGTTCTGTTCGACCCTGAGCTGTCCTTTCTCCCTCACATCCGCACCACAACTGGCACTGCCTTCCACCACCTCCGAAACATCGCCAAACTACGGCACTACCTCACCCCTCACGCTGCTGAAACTCTGGTCCATGCCTTTATCACCTCAAGGCTGGACTATGGGAACTCTCTCCTCGCGGCCTTCCCGGCCCTCCCTCCACACTGCAGGTCATTCAGAACTCTGCAGCTCGTGTACTGTCCCGCACCAGGCTTCGCGACCACATCACTCCCACCCTCGCTCGCCTCCACTGGCTCCCCATCCCCCAGAGGATCGAATTCAAGATCCTCATCCTCACCTACAAGGCCATTCACGGCCTCGCTCCCTCCTACCTCTCCGATCTACTATCCCCCTACCTACCTGCCCGTACCCTCCGTTTCTCTGGCCCCGGTCTGCTCCACATCCCCCGCCCCAACTGCCCTACCATCGGTGGTCGGGCCTTCAGCCTCTCAACCCCGAGGCTCTGGAACTCTATCCCCCAGTGCCTTCGCCGCTTCCTCCCTTTCCTCCTTCAAGGCCGGTCTCAAGACCTTTCTCTTTGACCGTGCCGTCAGCTCCCCTCTCAACTCTCTACCCACTCCTCGCCCCCTCCCTTCCCTCCCCTCACCCTGACCATTTCCCCCCCCTCCTCGCTCCCTTCCCTTCCCTCCCCTCACCCTCACCATTTCCCCCCTTGCTCGGGTCCTGACCCAACTGTCCAGCGCTTTGGGACGTCCTCCCGACGTGAAAGGCGCTCTATAAATGGAATCTTGTTGTTGTTGTTGTTGTCGTCGTTGTTAAGTGCTCTAAGACGCTGCCCCACATAAAAGATGCAGTGTAAATGCAGGTTGCTGTCATAATCTTTCAAATAAAAATCACATTAACCCTCTTGCCTCTGAGGCAGAAGGCTGTGAATTCAAGCCTCACATTGGGACCTTGAGTTCACAGTCTGGACTGACACCTTCAATGTATTGCTTGGGGGGAAGTGCTACAATGTTGGATGTGTCTTCCTTTGGATGAGATGTTAAATTCAGGTTCTGTCTGTGCCTGTTCCAGTGGACCCTGTTTAAAACTACACCGTTTGAAAAAGAAGAGCATTTCTCCTGATATCCTGGCCAACAGCCCCCCTCCCCCTCCCCCACCCCAGATAAAATTGGTCATTCTCTTCATGGCTGTTTGTGGGATATCATTGTGTGCAAATCGGCTATGTGTAAATACAGTCATTACACTTTACAGTAAATCCCATGGAACCCTTTGAGATGTCCTCCTGATGTGAAAGGCGCCACATGAAATGCGAGGATTATTATTTCTGATGATATTTTACAAGTGCCAATTAAGCAATTTGTTTGCGAATGGAAATTTTCTTGCTTGCAAGCCAGAAGATTTTAACGTTGCCAGGACGTTAAAAAAAGGAAACACAGCCAGCAATTGAAATTTTTGTGGCGAAATTAAATCAAACTGGGAACGCTACGTGGCTCAGCTGCCTTGCATTGCAAGTGTCAGCCTTTCGTGCGCAGCTTATATATCCGTAGTGCTGCCTGCACCGACTCTGGCCAGGTCACTGTGAATTACCAGCCCAGGCCCGTTCCAAGTCTGCGACTATTCCAATTAATAATAATAATAATCCTTGTATTTGATATGGCACATTTTTATGTTTTTGAGACATCTAAAGCGCCTCACAGGTTATATTGTAAAGTGAATTAATTGACTGTGTATTTTGTGGGCAAAATGCGGCAGCCAATTGCACAAAACAGTGTCCCATAAACAGTTGTGGATTGAGTGACCAAATTTGTTTTAAGTGATTATTACCCCTGGAATGCGATCTACTAACCACTCTACTAACAACTGTTTCGTACTTACTGATAGGTAAACGCCTGGAGTAAGGAAACTTGCCTAAGGTTTCACCCCGCCCGGGAATTGAACCCGGATCCTCTCGCTTTTGAGGCGAGTGCTCTAACCACTATGCTACAGGAGGAGATAAGTGGACAATGGTGAGGCAATGGCAAGCCAGCACATTAGGTCTGTTGTTGTCTGGTGATAAGTGGGAAGAACAGACTCCCTCTAGTGTGAGATCAGGTATCTGAAACTGGCATCATGGTATGACTGAAACCCAACCGGAAGGGATGAGTGTTTATATCAGTGTGTGATATTAAAATGACCAGGGGGAGGTGGGTGGGGGAGAGGCAGATTTGCTGCAGGACTACATTTGTCGAGATAATAATCCTTGAATATGATATAGCACCTTATTACGTTGTTGAAACGTCTCAAAACGCTTCACAGAATATATTGTAAAATGGATTTACCCTGCAATTTGTGAGCGAAATTTGTTCTGAAGCTGAACTGGCTGCGCAAACATAGATATTTCTCACTTTTCAAGCCTTTTTTGTCCTTTAGCAAACAATACTTTTATTTGCATGATGTATTTGTTGTGCAATAGAGGCAGCTTTGAGGACATGATGCATGGCTGTGCACTGCCTATGACTTTAATGAGTTTGACTTCCAGCTTATAAAAGCCATTAAGAAAGGTGCAGAATTTAACATTGGGTTTCTGGTGGTGGAAGACATAGCTCATTCAACACTGGAAACATTGACTTATTTAACGTCTATTCCCAAGATGGGAGTACACCCACAGGTTAGACTTTGTAAAAAGTGATTGATGTGCTTTGAGCAAATATTATTTTATTGTTTTCACTGTTGTGCAACTCTTGCAAATGGCGTTGAGAATAACAACTTGCACTCTCTAACCTGCTGACTCCCTACCAACCTGCCCGCTCCCTCCGTTCAGCGGGTTCCGGTCTGCTCCATGTCTCCCACCTGACCCGTCCTACCATCGGTGGCCGGGCTTTCAGCCTCTCTGCCCCCACACTCTGGAACTCCATCCCACAGTCCCTTCGCCTCTCTTCCTCCCTTGCCTCCTTCAAGGCCGGTCTCAAGAACCTGCTTTTCAACCGTGTCTTCGGTCGCCATCCCACCTCTCTGCCTTCCCTCACCCCTACACCACCCCTCCCCCATCCTCGGGTCCCGACCCCTGACTGGTCCAGTGCCTTGGACTTTCTCGTCCTACCGACGAGAAAGGTGGTCTATAAATGTAATTTTGTTGTTGTTGTTATATAGCACCTTTCACATAGGGTAATATCTCAAAGTGCTTCACCGAGATTCTACATAATAATAATAATCTTTGCTTTTGATGGAGCATCTTTCACGTCAGGAGGACGGCTCAAAGCACTTCACAGGATTTTTTGTGAAGTACACCTACAAATACACACACTGCGCTTTGCAGTAAAATTTGTCGTTTGATGTCAGGGCTTTGCTGTGAAGCATTTGGAGATGTTGATACGATGTGATCGGGAGTTGTATCGAATGCACGCCTGATTATTCTTATTATTTAACCTGAGCAATTTGCAAAGGGGGGTGAGTGGAGATGGAAGTTGTCTGAAGGCATGGCTGAAGAGGTAGGTGTTTAGAAGAGTTTTGATAATGGCTAGAGAGGGATTGAGTTGGAGGGATTTGGGGAGAGATTTCCAAGGTGTGATGCATAGCTCTAAATGGTCCCAGTGTACAAGGAGTTCACAAAGTCTTGTTACCCCTTTTTTTACAGTGCAATGACCAACAACTGAAACACGTGGAAGAATGATGACAATTATATTTAGTACAAGTGTGTAGCTGTATAAAAATAATAATAATTTGGTCACTCAATCCACGACTGTTTGTTAGACTCAGCTGTGCTCAATTGGCTGCTGTGTTTCGCCAACAAAATACACAGTAATAATAATCCTTGCATTTGATATAGCGCCTTATCACGTCTTCAAGACATCTCAAAGCACTTAAGGTGCTTAACAGTATATTCTGTAAAGTACTTTGAGAGATCTCGAAGACCTGATAAGACACTATAACAAATGCAAGGATTATTATGATTGTTATTATTATCTCAGCAAGGAATAATTACAGGCTAGGGAGTCTTGCTTGGCACATGCGCAAAGGCAGATATCAGCTGAGGATAGACTCTGGCTCACAGCTGTGTTGACCTCTGGCCAGATAACACTCACTGTCCACAGTGAAGATCAGCCAGTTGGAGTGAGATACTGAGCTGTTCTTCAGAGGGTGTTTGTGAAATCGCTCCCCAGTGCAACTCACCCACTGCCTCTGGGAGACCAGGGAGTGAGGTGAAGGACAATATCTCTTAACCATGCAGGGATCCACCCTAGGTGCGTCACATCTCCACCCTGTTCTTGATCAGAATATTTCCAGCAGCTACAAAACTTGACAGGACAAGACAGTGCTTGCTCGGGCTAGATTATTTTACAATGGGGAGCGAGCTGTTCATTAGATGGGGAAAGTCAAGGAGAGAGTGAGAGACTAACAGTCTATGTCTCAGAGGTTACCCAGAGGTTACCTGTGGATTGGGGAGTAAGCAACCTGCTTACTCCCCAATCCACAGCCTACCTGTTGCCTCAGCTCGACTGCCTCTGGCTTCTTGCTTGTCCCTCGTGCCCTGCATTCCACCACAGGTGGCCATGCTTTTAGCCGCTACGTCCTGAAACTCTGGAACACTCTCCCTCAATCCCTTCGCCTTGCCTCCCCCTCTCCCATCTTCAGGTCCTTCCTCTTCGACCATGCTATGGTCACCCACCCCTACCCCCGGCTTGGTGTCATGCTTTGCCACTGTCAAGCATTATGGAATATTACCCTGCGTGAGGGGCTCTATATAAATGCAAGTTGTTGTTGTTTAGAGATTATCGATTCACCTGTTGTGGCTCTGACCAATTTTTTATCTGTTCATTGTTTACATTCAAGAAGATTAATTTAGCAATGGTGTTGTCAGTTGAAGCAATTTATATTAATCCTGAGGTTTACATTTGCATTTTCATAGTGCCTTTCACCTGGGGGACATCTTAAAATTCTTTATAGAGAGGGCGTCAGACATTGAGTGGAGCGGAGGGAGGTTATTGTCCAAGAGATAAGTTTACGTGAGGAATTTAAGCACAGATAGAGAGAAGGTGCAGGGAAATCCAGAGGATAATAATAATAATAATAATAATCATCATCATCATCCTTGCATTGTCACATTGTCTCAAAGCACTTCACACGATATTCTATAAAGTGTGTATTTTGGGGGGAAACCTGGCAGCCAGTTGCACACAGCAGTATCCCACAGGCAGCCATGGGGCGAGCAACCACTTTTATTTGGGGGATTGTTGGCCAGGACACTGGGAGAGAGAAACTACCTTCACGATGGTGAGGCGGAGGGGACGAGCAGGAGAGTATGGCCAGAGAAAGCCACTGAGGTCGGAAGCTCGGAGGAGGCGGGATGAGATAATATGTGTCAGAATGTGAAGATGAGAGTGGGGAATCTTGAAGTCATTTCACCTTGGAGTTATGTTTGAGACTGACGGCACAATGTAAAAGAGCTAAATAAATTCTTTGAATCCATTGTATTGACACAATTAATCTGAATCTATGGTGAATTGGGATCATGAACTGCCTCAGGATTAATGGAGTTAAGGACTCAGAGTGGGATCAGATGGGAGCTACTAAGGCATTGATGCCTTGAGCTTGTCACCAGGATTCTATAGACATTGCCTCCTTGTTAACGAGCAGTAGGTTCAATTGAAGACCATTTGCGCTTTTTTGACCCAGGTACATAAGAAAAATTGCTTTAAATTCTCTTCAAAGTAAATTGCACCTTAATCCTTGCAGTAAAGCACATTGGCTGACCCGTCTTACACTGAATCTGATCATCATCATTTATGGGATGCTGCTGTGCACAATTGGCTGCCACGTTTCGCCCACAAAATACACAATACAATGTGATGCACTTTGAGACATCTGAACCATGTAATAATGTGCTATATCAAATGCAAGGATTATTATTATTGTTATTAAGGTGGGAAGCAGCTGACAAGTGTATTATAGCTGACAAGTGGTTTCAATAAGCAAACCGCACAATGTGTAGTCGGTCTGCCCTGAAAATTATTTATTGTTCAGAAATAACCAAATAGGCAACTCATGTATTTGTTGCCTTCAACTCCCCCCAGACCGACCTCCTTTCCACCACTCTTCCTTGGGGAATGGCACTTACCACGCATTTCTTTCAGAAGATCACAAGATTGGTTTGGACGAAGAAGGCTCTTCAACTCATCCGATTTCAGAACACTCACCTTACCATTCCCCCATCACAGCGTCAAACTGCTTTTTAAATGAATCTGAGTGTCCTGGCCTCAACCCACCTTTCCTGGCAAGCCTGTTCCAGTCGTTGATTACCTTCTGAGTAAAGCTGATGATTACTGGTGAAATGGGAATGGGTGAAATGGGAATGAGTGTGTGAATTTCTGAACTGCGGTGACCCTAATTCTATAAAACTATAAATGCCAGACAAAGAGTCCTGTAATGTAGTGGTTAATGCGCTCGCCTCGCAAGCGAGAGGATCCGGATATGATTCTTCGGCAGGGCAAAACCTTACACCATGTTTCGTTACTTCACACACCTCTGTTTGTCTAACAGTAAGTAGGAACCCGGTTGTTAGTTGATTGAAGGATCACTTTCCATGGGCAATAATCCCTTCAAAAAAAATGTGGTCACTCAATCTATGACTTTTTGTGGGACACTGCTGTGCGCAATTGGCTACCATGTTTCACCCAAAATATACAGCCAATCCACTTTGCAATGTTTTCTGTGAAGCACATTGAGATGTCTCAATGACATGATAAGGCTCTATATCAAATGCAAAGATTGTTATTAATATTATAAGGGAACACGCTTCCTTCAGTTTAGTCCCAGAGACTTGATAAAATACTTGGTAAGTACCTACTAAAATGCTTGATAAAAATCGTTCAATTTTCCCTGGAGTTAGGTGTTCCGGGCAACAGGTCACCTACCACACAGTGTTCCTGTCGAACTGTTTCATTTGGTTTATCCATCCCGAGGAGAAAGGCAAATCCGAAACAACAGGGGGAAGAGCAGTGGAAGTAAGACTGTG